TAGATATTTCAATTAATAAATACATCGATATTAACAAGGATAACTAAATCTTAATGTAAATTTGTTTTTGGCAGTTCTAAATAAAGTTCTATGATAATTTATATATTTTTTGTAATCGATACTTTAGCAATAACCAATATAATTTTATTTTGATCTACCCTAGTTTATTATATAGTTTTTTTTAACAAATACAAATTTAATACTTTATTCATTATGTTTTTGCAATAAGTTTATTCTAAATACAGATGCATCTTTTTAACGATCGATTATAGATTTCGTAATAAGAAAATCGTTATTGAACAAATCTTGTTGATCATTTATTAAAACGCATTCATAAAATCATAAAAAGGTGATAAACTGTTAATGTTTATTGATAATTAATTTATTAATTATTTATTGAGCGCTTCAATGATTTTTATATACTTTTTTTTAATTTAAACATTTTTGTTGCAATTATTTACGCAAATTAATTGCTGAAACAAATGTTGTTATTTTTATTAACCAGTGGCGGAGCAGACCTATATTCTTAATAAAATTGTAACACTTTACTAAATGATGATAGGATATGTTACGTGTTACCGGGGCAAATTCGTACGCAAATTAAATTCTCACTTCAACCAAAAATGTTACCCCTTACGACGAGCAACACCCCTTTTTTTTTATTCCATCTCACCCCTCGGCTTCTGAGCAATCTGGTGACATCACGACATATTTACCATTCGACGAGATGACACCCACATTCAGATATTATTTTTGTGCGTCATCTCGGAAATCAAGTGTATTTTAATATAAAGCAATGTTCATTATTTTATTATATATTATTGATTATTATTATTATTATATAAGTTTAAATTAAATTATGAATAATTTTGTACAGTTTTTTATCAAATCGAATATATTTATTAATATGAATATTAAAGTTATAAAATGAGTAAATCGTATTTTTTGGACTATAAAATGCACTTTTTTACGTAAATCGATTTAGGTTATGTCATTAAAATCATTGCTTTTTAATATTCTAGATAACTAAAATAATGTTAAATTAAAATATAAAATTTTGTAATAAGTTTTATAATAGTTGTTTTAAGATAAGATAATTATAATTGTTTGTTTATATAGAATATATTGGTTACAATACAATCTTTACTGTTATATCCAGATGTCCGGGCTTTAGAGCTTAATAAATTTAAATTAACAAGCTACAAGTCCATCAAAAACATGCGATAAAATGTATGGCGGCAACGGAAAGAATTAGTAAAAAAAAATGTATAGTTAAGATATTTGTAATAAGCAGGTTTTTGTCATTCGGAATTTATCATCAAAAAATAATTACTCAAACATATAAATAATTGTATTATATGGTAAAATATGTAAATTATATTTTTAAACAATAATTTTCTAATTATAAATTTGATACAAATAATTAATTAATAAAAGAATAGTCAAAGCTCACAAATAATTATTTTATATTATAATTAAGTATATAAATTCTATTGAATATTTGTTTGGAAATGTAATTAATAATTTATGGAACGTAGAATAAAAAAAAATGTAGGAAGAATTCTTCGTGTCGCATTCTCGAAAATCATCGATATGTCAGAGCGGCTTTCGCGTGGCGGAGTATATCAATTTAAATAAATTGGAGAATGAAGGAAAACGCTAAAAATGATTGAGGAGGTTGTTATTCCTCGTAAAATACAAACTTCACCGAGATCCTGCGGAGAAACTTGGCGAAAAGTCTTTTAATGAATATAAAACTCTGAGGAGGAGCAGAGCGGAATATGCGGAAAAAAACAAAGATTACCATAAATGCAAAATTTATTGTTTCGCTTTACATTATCCACAGCATAATTTACAAACTTTATTGGCTTTAGAAAAAAAAATGCCGAAGCATTACATTTGTCCCAGATACGAGCTTATTAGCGTGTGATTACTATTGAAAAGCAAACATCTTTGTTTTTCCTGGAAGCGTTTTGAGTTTATGAGAGTTGTTTTCGTACAAAAAGTATTGATTATAAACAGGAAATACAAATTTGCTTCATGTGTTACAAATAAATTATATTTACGTAAAGTAAAATTAGTATTATTCAAATTACATTTATGTTTGAAAAAAAAAATGGTTAGCCTCAAACACATATATTAAATAATTGAATATATTTCGCATTGATTACGTTTAAGATGTTTTATTTTTTAGGTTTTTATTAAATTAGTAAACATTATTTCGTATTCGCTAGAAGGTATGAATATGGATGCGTTTCTTGGCCAATCAGAACGCCGTATAGAATAAAAAGGTTGTCATCCCAACAAATCGCGATAAAAATCCACCAATGCACGAGATAATACTCCCATACGCTACTATCTTATTGGTTCTAACAAAAAAAAACTTTAGCAAGGAAATCATAAAAAAATGTTTTATACGTTCCAAATAAACGTGTTTAGTGTTGAATATGTTTTCTTATTACAATTGCTATGTTATGGCTATAATTTTATATTGTAATTATAAACGCTTTATTCCAAACACGTATGCTCAACTATTTGCAAGTAAAACTAAAACCACTTCGTTTTTTGCCTCATTATTGCATATTTTTAAAGTATAAATTAAATGACTGTCAGTTGGCAGCGTGGAAAACAAAACGGATACGAGTGACAAACATAATAATAGTGCATACATACAAAATATATATAAGAAGCACACCGTGCGTGGCGCGTTTCCCGATGAAAAATTTATATGGAACACAGATTGTTAAAAATAAATCCAGTTTTATAATATAATTCTTACTATAAACTGGTAGTAATTATAGAATTTGAGTCGCGTTATTTGTCGCATCCAAAAATAACGCGCATTTTCATCGAGCATATGCGGCGGAAGCCGCGACAACGAGACACGACTTATCATTATTAATACTAATAATAATATCATATTTTTTTTCGATTGAACGCACGTTAATTAGGTTTTTTTTTTATTTCATTCATTACTTTCGACATTAGAACTTGCGTACGGTGCAATTAACGATTCTAATGTAAAAACCAATCGCGATGCTTTGAACTTGCTTGACCTTAAATGAAATAGTTGTGCTTCTTCCTTCATGTCTTTCTCTCGTTCCTTATTTGCTTTTTATTTTATTTTCGGCTTTCTCCCATTCTATTTTGAATAAATTGAGTCGGCTTTTGGTTTATGTGAATGTCGTGTGTGTGTGTTTATATGCATGTATGTTAAAGTGTGAATGTGCGAATGCCGGTGTATTTGGCGAATTTCCGTTTCCCCCTTGTTCTCACTCACCCCCTGAGTCTGCTAGGAATTAGGAGAGGCGAGAGACGGCCTGAGGTGGCGGAATCGGAGGCGGCGTCGGTGGCGACGGAACCGACGGGAGGCGGCAACGTTCAGCGTATGCAAATATTTCCGCGAATTTGCACCAAAGTATTAATTAAATCCTCCACATTTCATACTGTCACAGATTTTTTTTTTTCATTTCCACTGAAACTCCGAGCCAGACAACGGATGGTAGTAGCAAGAGGACAGTTATATATATAGATGGAAACAGTAATATCCAAGTTATGTGTTTCCATAGATGTTGCACTTTAAAATTACACTGATTATACTAGAAAACATCACCAATAGTTTTATTTATTTAAAAAACAAAAGAAATTTATGAAAGTTAGGAAACTTAATCTACCTTTATTACGAAGAGTATTAAGAATTGTAGCAAATTATCACCCATCTGGACATCCTATTTTTAACTTTTTTATAAGAAATTTAAATAACTAATAGAGAAAATAACTCTATATGTTTTATAAAACATAGGTATTCACCTTGAGTGAGAGTTCACTTTTCACAGAGTTCTTAGCCGACAGCAATGATATTTTGAGTTAAGCCTATTTACAGCACGGTTTCTTACACGTTGTTATTAAATGGTGCGAGTATTTGATAATTGTACTACGAATAACAGTATGGAGCCTCAAGCAAAGTACATAGAGAATGATTATAATGGTGTTAGGTATCTGCTATTCACGAGGCATTAAACAGGAGACACGCATAGCAATAAATGAAAAAAATAATGTTTCCATTCAAAATCTGTTACATTTAAATTATTGACATAAAACTAGATTTCTACTTTTAATTAAATTAGATGTTTTGATTAAATTTGTATAAAAAAATAATGTTTCTATTAATTAAATACACTTCTTTTTTCTTGTTACTAATAAATAGCATTTTTGAAAACGCCTACTAAATAAATCTTTATAGAATTTTAATAAAATAATGCAGAAAAAATATGTATTTTGGAATATACTAAAAAGTTTTTTTGAATTCGGTCATTGTCCTTAAAATATTAATTTTACTTAATTGTTACCAACTTGAAATACATTAATCTTTAAATTTGTTAAAATTATATCAAATCCTATTAAGAACTACCAATATGTGTAAACATCTACTGGTACTAATTTCAACCAATTATTTTTAATACCAGATTATTTCATACTTTTTTGTTATTTATCCCAATATTAATTGATATTTTCAGATTATCCTGTACACAAACTGTGAGTGAGTTAAATCTATCTGCCAAGAGTACCAACTACTATGAACTCTATTC